CTATAAAGAAACATGGTATTAGAGTAGATTAGCACAGACCTGTCTCTCAGTATTTGTTGACCTTAGAGTTTGCGGGGACTTACAGGATTAGGGGAATAGTTCTGCTACAGCAAAAGCATGTCAATATCTACAGACAACTCCAGAAGAAAGGCCTGGGTTTCCCTCTCCTTCGCCTTTTTCTACCCATTCCTTGCCCCCACCTCAGAGCAGAACACTGAAGCATCTGAGAGCAAAGTCCTGCAGCTCATCAGGATCAAGGTAGGCATTATATTTCAAGTTGAAGTTCAAGACAGCTTGCTTTCATCTTTTTTTCTTTCTTTTTTATTGTTTTGGAGAGGCCTTTGCTATAGGGCACGTGCGCTCACCAGACAAACAGACAGAGAGAGACAGAGAGACAGAAAGCGAGAAATCACCCCCCTAGGGGGGGTGGCTCCGCCGCAATCCCTTCTCCTCCATTCTCCTCTCAGGATCTTGGGCACACACGCACCCAGCATGAGTTTAAGCCACCGGGTTCGGGACTCGAACCGCGGTCGACTACGTGGGAGTCCGGCGACATAGCCATTACGCTAACTGCTGGTCCCAAAACAGCTTGCTTTCTACTCGGACTTATTTCCTGAAATCAAATGGCGCCTTTGGGTACTGCTGTGTGCTGAGTCATGAGTCAGCCACATACTTGCTCTTTCATTAAGGCCACCAAGCTGAGAGCCTGTCTTCCTCCTCGGTAAAGTGAATGGGAGACCAACTCAAGAGCACCTTCAACAGAGGTTCCTATGAGGTGTCAGGACTTTGAACAACCAGAACGCTTTTTCTTGCTCTCTCCTCATTTTATTTTTCCTTAAGGAAATTTGACAAACCAGAAGTCATTAGAAAAACAAAACTGAAAACTTGCCCATAATCTTTATGTGATATTGCCTATGATGCCTAATTACTGCATTGTTTATGTTAGGTTTGTGTTTCTCCAATAAGCATATTCAAAAAAGATACTAGAAAATTCTAGCTCTCCAGAGAGCCCTTTAGATTAGAGCCCTGACAGCGCTAATAAATGACTGCTGCCCACAGGCCCAATCTTGTTTGCAGAAAGGTTTTGGTAAATTAGTTACCAACCAATAAAAATTGCATAGCCAGGCTACAAGAGGAACCAAAGTACTCCATAGTAAATCCAACACCATGGGTTAAAATACCATAGACTGAGCTGTAACTTGTTTTATTTCTTTGGCACAGTAACTCCTGTTTAGTACTTAGCTTGCAGGGACTCATAGTTTTGTAGGGAGTTCGCAGAGACCAGGGCTTGAGACCAGGAGCCAGATGTGCTTACAGGGATGAGATCGTTCTGCCCTGATGACCAGGTCCAGCCAAACCAACCTCAGCTGAAAACAACTTGAGATCAATAAATCTCTGCAGGATCAGTTGAGGAAATGGTGAACTGCTGTGCTGGGGAAAGGAGCACGTAGCCCCGCTCCTTGCTTTACCTTTAAAAATCCTTCTTGTAAGACTGGAATGAAGAGACGGTCCTTAGACATTAGTGAGTCATTGGCCCTCGGCTTCTGGCTTCCGGAATAAAACCACCTTTCCTTTCCACCGACACCTCTCTCCTGAGTGTGGGCTTTCGGTGGGTGGGAAGCCACACTTGAGTTCAGTGCTGGTTCCAGCCAATTACAAATGGACAATTTCACATAAAAATCCAAAATTGGAGATGCTCTTAAAAACTTGAAATATGTACATATAAACAAGGGGCATGACCCTTCAGACAGACCTTCAGACACAATGGGTGCTGGGGACATGTGTTCCCTCAGTATCACTCATCTGTTTGGAAACCACTGCATTCTCCTCCGTTGTCACTTGTACCTGTGAACATGGCCCTACTCCACCTAGCCCAACCACTTGATTTAACGGGTCAGGAAAGCTGAGTCAAGAGAATGTTAATGGTTCTTCCAAGATCACCAATCAGGTAAAAGCAGAGCTGGAGCCAGAATTCTGGTCCCCATTACAAGATGCATTCCCATTCCCTAGAGCTCTGGTTATAAAAAAATTGGGCCACATTTGAAGTACTGTCTCAGACGATGTTAGTTCTGAAGTTTTTTAAATTATAAATCATCACTGGAAACTAATGAAAGCATCAAAGCTGTGATACTGGAATAGACCAGAAGGGTTGAGGAACAGCATAACTAGGAGATAGAACATTTCCTGAGGGATTTTAAATTTAAGTAATCTATATTTAAACCATCAAGATTTTAGTGAGTAACAGAGGGGGCAATAAAAGGCTGAATACAAATCTCACCCTAATTTAGTTATACTGGATAAGTTAGAAATGACATTTCTTACACTTTTCTTTTAGAGGCTTTTGATGCAAGAATCCTGCCTATCCACCCTGTATTTCATTATTTCATAGTAATAGATTTAATGAAAATAAATGGGCAATTCCTGGGGCTTTTCAAAACTCTCTTTGACAAATGATATTATTTTTCTCATAAGGTCAATGTATGGGTTATCAAGAAAGAAATTTGGGGACCAGCAATTAGCGTAATGGCTATGTCGCTAGACTCCCACATAGTCGACCACGGTTCGAGTCCCGGACCCGGTGGCTTAAACTCACGCTGGGCGCGTGTGCGTGCATGTCCAAGATCCCGAGAGGAGAAAGGAGGAGAAGGGATTGCGGCATGGCCATCCCCCCTGGGGGGTGATTTCTCGCTTTCTGTCTCTCTGTCTCTCTCTGTCTGGCGAGCGCACGCACCCTATAGCAAAAACCTCTCATAAACAAAAAATTGTTTATACGCATAGATGTATTATAAGCATACAAAGCATACTTGAAAAAGCTCATGGAAAATGGTATTAAAGTATGTTTATTTTGGTGCAAAAGTACCCTGAAATCCATGCATAATTTTATTATAATATGTATTTTCCACAAACTTCTTGAAACCCCCCCTCATATCCCATACTAAAGTATTCTTGCACTGATAACTCTGACATCATTATTTATTTATTTTTAGTGCATTAATACAGAATAGAACTGAACATTTTCTACATAATCCTGCTTTCCTGAGCCGCTCTAAATCCACCTGCGCCATTCCCGGAAACCTGTCATCTTGAAAGGATTTTTTAAAAAGAACAAGAATATTTCTTTGGGAAAGCATGTAATCTTGAAAATGAGCCCCTACTCCTGCCCTGAAAAGAAAAAATACCGAGCAGGTCATAAGGCTGCCGCTGATGTGACAAGGGGGACACGCTGCATGTTTCCCAGTGGCATAGCTGTCACCAGAGCCAGCAAATCACATTAGCAGACACCTAAGCCCAGGTAACAGTACGAGTTGAAGACAGTTGAAGCACAATGCTGTTCAGTACTGCTGTGATGCCATTGGAAAGCGCGGGTGCTAAAATTAAACTGACACTTGGCAGAAATGATCACAACACTTGTCATCACAGCCTATGACAGACAAAGAGTACCTGCAGGGTACAGACAGTGCTGACAACAGAGGAGCCATGCATCACAAGAGGGTCCAGTGTCCAAGCCCATGCAGAGAAAGTTTCAGGGGGATTTAGCATTGACGTGTCTCTCTCATCCCTTCATAGGGACCCAAAAGTCACTACTTAAGTTCAAAGTCCAAATGTCTTCTCTTGATTTTCTGTCTTTGTTTTTTGATCAGGGGAGAGAGGG